CTTGCAACTGAGACCAAATAACATATGTGGAGAGAGAGAGAGAGAGAGAGAGAGAGCGAGCGAGCGAGCGAGCGAGAGCGAAGATGTGACGAAAATTCAGGCATCCACAAAGTACTGTCGTTGGAGTATCGGGGGAGTCATATTTCGGTTAGTCCTCTCATTATATCAAAAAATATCTAAATAAAAATACCCGACACTCGAACAAACAATTTCACACCCCCTGAAAGCCCCATAACATATGGGGGGCCAATAGGCCGGGGGGTCTGACACGCCCCCTATGCCCTGGGGAAGAAGAGAGAGCGAGAGAGAGAGATAGAGGGAGAAAGAGAGAGAGATGGAGAGAGAGAGAGAGAGAGGGGGTAAAGTCGCCTGGTGGGGTAGGGGTCGGACATACCCCTACTCTCCCCACCTGGAAGAGAGAGCGAGAGAGAGCGAGAATTAGATCCACACTAATTAGTCTGCATATCATTGCACATTTTGGTGTTGTGCTAGTTTCTGATACAGCTTTCCCATGTTCATGAGGCTGACAGGGTAGCATGGGGCTGTGCGTATTGGGGTAGGGGGGTGGGGAAACAGGTTTATTTTTGGCAGAGCTCTCCTGTCCTTTTGCCGCGCTTTCTATAGAGCATGTTTTGTTTTGCATGCTGGGTCGTGATACCCTGGTCCGGATAGTGCGGCTACGGGCTAGCCCTTGGGTCCACGAACCCACTGCCCACAAATCGGGGTATCCCTGCCAAGAAGCTCTCTCAGCCCTCCAGAGCCAAAGTCTCCCGGGCAGAGCGTAGGCCGGCGGGAAGACAGCAGCTGGAAAGCAGCAGGTTCAGGCTGGATGCTGTCGGCTGAGTATGTTTGGGGTTGGAGTTGCCGGGTCGGGCTTTTGTGGGGGTTGTGTGGTTTGGCGTTTGGTTTATGTAGCTGTCTGGGTCAGCTTCGAGATATAGCGTTGGGGCCGGGGACATGGGTTCCGGCTCGTTTTGGCTTGAAGCTCATGCTCGTGTTCGAGGTGTCTTTCAAATTCCGCCAACATATTTCAGCTCCCGAGATTTTTTCCGTTCGGGCCGGAAAATCGATGAACTCTGCGTGCATAGAATATAGAGCCCCAACAAAGCACGAGCTAAGATGGTGCATTGAGAGTGTAAAGTGACGCAGGTGTCTGGTAGACTTATGGCGATCCGATACTGCAGTTGTTAGTTGATAGAGAGATTGCCAAGTGCTGCGGCCTCATGAAGTGACGGTGAGAGCCAGCCGCCATCGGAGCCTCAGTGAGTGGACTCGGCGACGCCTGCTTCCAGAGAACTGTCCCAAAGAGCACGAGCTACATGCCCAATCAGCCGCGGGTTGGGAACGTTTGTCTTGAACAAGGCATGGTGAAAGCAATCAAGAAGCTTGGGTCAGAATGCCCAGAAGCTCATGCCTACTACATTGAAAAAGTGACCATGGCTGACAACAGCATAAGAAGTAGCAAAAACAATACTTGTCATGGTAAAGAGAAGAAAAGCAGTCGATCCGCAGGCGGCGATAGAAATCTTCAGGGATGAGGGCGCCAGAAGGTGCCTTGGCCCCTTGAGTGTCGATTCTCTTTGTCCTGGAATTTCCAACCCTGTCGACAATCGTTGTGGTAATGAGACAGATATACTTCGGGAGCAGTGCGATCCTCGAGGCCCACACCATTTTGTCTGCTCCCCCCCTGTCATGTTTCAGCAAACCGGAAGGCAAACATAGAACACTCACCGCCACGTCGAACTCGGCATCGTCAAGTCGAAGAAGGCGTAGATTCCTTTGTCGCTAGCATAAATGTGCCGGGATTGTTAAACAGCAGCCGCGTCTTGCCTGGATTCATCCACTTCCTGTTACGTGCAATAGGTGTAATTTGCCTACTGGCTCAACTGCGACAACGTTTTCTGAATCACAGGTTGGGTGCTCCCAAGGCTTCCATGGACTAAGGAGTAGACGGCTGCCAGGGTGGAATCCTCTTTGCCTTGATCTGAGAGTTGTTTGTAAAGGTATTCGGGTGCAGTGGTGAAGATGGAGAGGAGCACATGCATGCCTGGAGTCTGGCCGTAGCAGATGCATATGCTTGGCACCTTCAATGGATGCCTAGCCCCCCGGCCATTTGCGCGTGCTAGACAAGAATCGAAGTCCACCGGGCTGCTGTAGCAGGCATGCAAGCCGGTCGAATTCGAATCGCCCATCGTAGCCGAGGGCAGGTTCTGAGATTCTTAAGCAAAACGCGAACCTGCAAGAAGACGGTCGGAGACTAAAAGCCCCTTCACGACAAGGTCCAGGCGAGGGTGGCATTAGAGCTTTCAGTCCCTCCATCCTGCTCGGGCGACAAGCCCAAATCCTCTAATGTTTGCAGCTATGTGGTTCCTGAGCTCGCTCGACATAGCTCGTCCGGAGATACACAGAGGCCCAAACTCCAAACCCAACGCCAAACGCGCCACGCGTTCGACTTTCGGGTGGCTCCGGGTTCAATATGTTGTGTCGCTTTGTGCAAGCACCCAGTTCACCCTACAGTACACTTCAGGTCACACTGGGCCATGCCTTTGGAAGGCTAAGCATGCAAGGTACTGTACGGAAACTCCTTTGCTGCCGCTGCCTTCTTCTACGATTGTGTCGAGATTTGCGGGGCATCGCTGTCAGACCGAGACGGCCGGCATATCTGCCCTCACCTGACCCTATCACAATGGACAAGGATCTGCAGCGTCAACTGCGACAACTCATCTTCCAGTGTACATCAAAGTTGCTGACATAATATAGGACTTGGGCATTGCGCCACGTATTGCGAACAAAACGCGGATACAAGGCTGGAAGCAGAGGAGTTCCTGGCATTGTCGGCCGATGCCTTAGCCGATGTTGGGGTTCGTTGGGAATTTAGGGCTCTCATATTAATGCTGTAAGTTTGAAAGGCTTGTGCTGCAGGGCTTCGGCTTCTGGGTCCGGGTCTTGCGGCTTGCGGTTCCGGGGGGCGGCCTGTAAAAGGCAGAAGCCGGCTGTAGGGCTCAAGAGCTCATACAAAGTAGGAGATGCGGCTTCGTGAAGCCTGGGCCTAGAGGCTCATGTAGCTTGAGGTCGCTGCTCAAGTTCCACCCTGGCCAATTAATTTTTCCCCAGGATGCATAAAGCCATAAAGCCTTCAAGCCCTTTAACCCCTCGTCCCGTGCCCTTCCCCGAACCATGGAACACTTCCCATGAAACCCAGCGACCGAGCCGAGGAGTACCTGCTGCTTTCTGGAAAGGCCAAAATCGTTGGGCACCCAAGGTCTCTCCACAGGGGCAGATCTGCCATAAACCCTGAGCAGGTACGTAGCTACCTGAAGAAATTTGACTACATGGGCAGATGCCCGCACTGACACTCAAATCTGGATTTGCATCTGTTCTACTCCCTGCCTTTTGGACCACATGCATCCCCACAAAGCCCGAACATTCAAGAGCCCTGTGAAGAAAACGAAAAGAAGAAAGGACAGTTTGAGAGGGAGTTACAGGAGTCATGAGGTTAAAGCCGCCGGAACTCCATGTCGGGGGCGTAGGTAATACACCCATGGCACTTCCAGTTCCCCTCCGTCCCAAGCTCGAAACACCAAGCATTTTGGCCCTGAGCATTCTGAAGGTGCCAGACATACCCGAAGCTTGAAGCAAGCCCACCCCGAAACCCAACAATCCAGCCCTGAACTGAAGTTGATGTTTTGCAAAGTGCAGCGTCCTGGCTGTTGGGTTGTTGATTCTGGCTTGTTTGAGGATTTGGTCAGATGCAGCGTGACTCGATGGGAGCTATTCTGTTGTGCTTCAGACGGGTCCTTGGTGTTTGTTGCTTGATCGAAGGCTGCGAGTTGTCCTTAAGTCTTGGAGTTTTACTGTTCGGGGCCACGAGCAGTTCCAACATGAGGAACGGAGGCGGAATCTGATCATTATATGAGCCTCTACATTGGACTCATACTCCCTTTGCTTTCGCAACAGAACATAGACTCTACCCGGTCCCGGATCGCCTCGTCTGCAAGGATCCCCGCCCCATTGTGGAACACGCTCGGTGAACTTAGTCATCTTAGTCTACAACCCATAAGATGCATGTTGGAAAGGCAAAACCTGAGCCAGGAAACATTGCCATTGGGAGTTGCAAGTTGCTCAAGGTTGCTGGCATGGTTGTTTAGCATTCTCACACTGCTCAAGCCGGTATGCTGCAGGGGAAAGCAAGGCGTTCGGCGGCAATCATGGGCATCTGGCACAGCCGCCAGCCATACTGATCGCCCGACACCGCCCATGCTTGCAGTTCCTGTCCCGAGCCATGGCGCCGCAAGAGTGCCCAGCCTGCACTTGACTAGACAGCTGCTGAAACGCGTGTAAAGAAAAGGGCTATACTGTCTAGCCTGGCAAGCAAACGCAAAGTCCTCTCAGTGCAGAATCCATTGCTAAGAGCTTCGGAGGCATGGCAGCCTAGAGTGACAAGAACCAGCCCGTGCCCGCAAAAAGAGCCAGGAAGAAACCCGTCAACGCGTTTGCACATCAGGGGTATCGACAGTTAAAGGTGTGAAACTCTTTCTTCACGAGCTCGAGAATCCGAGAACGATGTATGCAGCCAGTTTTCACTAGCCCTACTGTGTTCATGTCTAATCCTGTTGCTTGTGTTTTTGTTTAGTGCTGCTGCTGCTGCTGCTGCTGCCGCTGCTGCTGCTGCTGCTGCTGCTGCTGCTGCTGCTATTGTTGCTGCTGCTGCTGCTGCTGCTGCTGCTGCTATTGTTGCTGCCGCTGCGGCTGCTGATGCTGATGCTGATGCGATGGATTCGTCGACATCCTCCTCGCCGCAGCGCCATTGTCCCACTACAGGTCGCATTGTGGCATTGTACGACATAGACTCACTGTATCATAGCTGCACGGCTGGTTATTTCGCACCTTTCTGACCCATGGTTTCTGAGTCAAACCGTTACCAGAAACACGGAGTTGGCTGTTTCTAGAACTCTGAAGTCGTGCATCATGTCATTATGCCCAGTGTCACACGTCCTGAGGTGGCGTCCCCAAGAGGGAGTCAGGCCCTGCGCGAAGCCGACCTTTTCAGGAACTCGGATCAAGAACCCTACACTGCGTGGCCCCTAGCCGAATCCGTAAAGAGAGACCCAAGCCAAGAATCCAAATCTGCAGCGATGTAGAGCCATCGAGGAATGAAGGCACGCATCGCACAATCGAAGCCCACCTTTGCAAAGCCGAGCCAGCAACGATGCGGAACTGCCAACTTATTGAATTCCTGGATGGAGCAGACGCCAAATTTCTTAATCGGAAGTCCAGACGGCAGCAGCTACAAGAGTGCTGACTTTCTTAAAAAGGTTCCTGCGCCGACCATGTTCGTTCACAGACCCTCTTGTTGTGCAGAGAATGCAGAGCAAAGGCATGACTCAGGGGACAGTATTTCATTAGCGCAGGTAGTCGCAACAGCCAGGATCTAAGTAGTGAAGTTTTTCACACCAAGCATGCTATGGTCTGTGGTTGAGCCCTCTTGACCCCGTAGCCCGAAGGACATGCTTGCAGCTTCGGACACAGCAGCGCGGCCTGCCAGCAACTGTTGGTTGGGTCCTTTTGGCCTCAACTTGTGTTCTCTTGTATATTATGCCGGTGGCTAGGTGCTTGGTGGAAAAGGGAATTCAGGATAAACAAGGTAGGGATGCTCTTGGCATTGGTGAAGCACTGTACTTTTGGTGGGCTAGGTGGCTTGTTCCGACAGGGTCTGTTTGCGCGTGCGAGTTTGTGACACGACCCTAGGCCCTACAGTCCCTACAGCTCCACGCTCTAAAGTGTCTTAACCCGGGCTAAGTTCCGCCTTCCCGAAGGGGCCCGGCTCCTCGCCGACACACGCCGCGCCGGCAACGCAGTTGAGGCTACGACTCCCCAGCAATTCGAAATAATTCGTTGCACTGAGACTTTGAACTGCTTTCGCGATCAGGTTTCGGGTTTGAGACTCTATGGGTTTCGAGGCTTCTGGTTTTTGAAGCCCGTCGCGCGCTAAGGGCCCGCGCCCTTCGGTGTCGCCCTATGGGGCATTATGGTTTCAGATTTCTTTGGCATTGTAAGTGAGTTGTTCTTTATGCTCGCCGCGCTGGGACAGCGTGCCTGGACCCGAGACCCTAAAGTTGCGCAAGCCTTCCTCAGAAAGCATATTTTGAAACCCGAAACTTCCGAAACCCTTACCTTATAAACCCTAAACCCAAAGCAGGAGACCCCGGTCCCGGTGGCTTCGGCCTAGCCAGGCGGAGTTCAAATAGAAAGCCCCTACATTCTGGATCCTTTTGAGAGTCCTTCTGAGAGGGGTAGCCTTAGTTTGATCTCAACAAAAAGCCCAATCATCCCAGAAAGAAAAGAATGACCAGATGTAGCCTCCAAAGACCCCAAACCAAACTCCCAAAGACTCATCCTTACGCCCGCGACGCGGAACACCAAACCGCAGCTAGAACTCCGGTTGCGGACTTATTTTATTTCGTCTAGCTGTGACCTAGTTTTAGTTTGAGGTGTTGGTATGGGGTTGACAATCGGCCGCGGATATGCTTGTGCTTAAAACTTGGCGGGTGGCCTGGGTTTGGCATAGGCACTTATGAATACGTGGTGGTTGTCTTGGTGCGACAGGCGATTTCCAGCTACAGTTGGACCAGGAAGCCGCGCATGCCTTGAACGAGCATAAGCGTCGAAACCCCGACCCTGGTCCCTGTGTCGTGAGCCCACATGCCTAAACCCCGAACCCAAGTTCGACTGCACAAAGCCTCGGCCTTTAAAGCTGCATCTCTGATCCGTGAAGGCTGCTGACATAGCTCTGATCTTCGCTACTCGGCATGAGCTGGGCTGATTTCTAGAATTCTCCCCAAGTTTATTGTGGGGGTTAGGAAAAGGGTGTCTTTACACTTCCTCTCAAAGGTGACTGAAGGTAGGTCGTTACCGTTTTGCGCACTTGTGTTTGTAACACGACACATATTTGAGGCAGTCCATAGGAAGCCGATATGACTGAGTGAATAAAACCTGAACCGAAGCTTTTCCTAGGCTCCGCAGGTGCATGCAAGTACACCATATAGATATGCTCGCTTGCATGAATAGATGGATGGATTGTCCCATCTTGTCTCTATTCAGACTGATAGAAAGCTGCAACGTAGTCGACAAACTCACTTGTGAGCACGAAGCCACGAGACTGAGCACAGAGGCCTTTTCCTGAAGCCCTGAAGCTGTGAAGCTCGATCGCAATCCCAAAGCAGCTCAGAAGGCCTTAGATCGCACCGACTTCGCGCTGCAGCAGCTGAGGTGGCTCTCGGTTGGGTTCGGGGTTGACGTAGTTTAGGAATTGGTAAACCCTGTACCCTAAGATTGTTTGGGCAGTTTGGCACAGGAAGCTTGGCATAGGTTTGAGGCAGGGGCCACTTCTTTTGCCGCTCTTTCCTCCTTGCTATTTGCTAACACAGCATTCACCTCCTCCGGTACTTTGGGTTGCAACACCACAATGAACAGTGAAGAACTTGAATTGACCTGCCTCAGACCTTCGCAAGCAAAACCCCGCAGCAGGTCCTTCAAAGGAAGCGAAGCACTGCCCCTTGACACGCCGCTTGAGCTGCGTTTATCTACGCTCGTAGTCTTTGTTGCCCCGCACTCGAGTGCTGTCCAGAGTGTCTTTCCTGTCTCAATTCAAGATGTGTTATCGTTGCTTTTGGGTCGTAGACCTCCGGGGGTTAAATCTTGTTGCGTCGTTGCGGGTGTGGGGGGTAGGTTTGGTTTAGGCATGTACAGTCTCGGGTTTGAGGATGGTTGAAGCCTTCGGTTTAGGAGTTTAGGTTGTTCCTCGCATGCTCGGCACGTGCCATTTGCGCGAAATACTGCGTGTCATACACGGGCCCGAGTAATTGCCAATACTGTCCTTTAGAGTTCCTGAATACAAGTATACTATCTAATCTAACCCGACACCCAGTTTCAATGATTAAGGCTCCAGGGTTTGGAACCGAAGTTGGTCACGTCGTTGGAAGCACTTGCCCGGCATCTCATACTGCTCGGTGGTCTTTCTCTAGTCTACTAGTTGCGTTCGGGATGAGACACCTATAGGCTTGTAGTTGAAGAAGCTGGCACACCCTCTGTCCTTCTCCATCGGAACTCAAGGCCAGTGCGCTTCTGGGAGGACCGCGACTGGCGCGCGAGGTCAACAAAGTCCCAGCAGGCTGCACCTGCACGCCTTCGGGCTTGCTTGTTCGGCAGACGTTCCGGGCACATCGGATTGGTTGTGTTCTTTGCGGCTTGTGCGGCTTCTGCAGCTGTTCTTCTTGTAGCCACCGACTGTGATGCCCTGAGCTTTCTCGCACATAAGAAGTTAGCAAAAAAACTGAAACCACGGGTTCTTCGTCATCCTGTAGATGTTTTGGTGGCTATGTGGTGTTTCTTCTTCTGCAAAGAAGTCTTAAGAAAGCATCACGCCCGGGGGTTTGCCCTGACGGGACAGGTAGTCCATACCAGGAACTGGTAACAGGAACCAGGTCTGAGACCGTAACAGAAACCGCCTGGTTCCCATAGCACGTTCGGCGCAGCACATGGTAACAGAAACCAGTTCCTGCGGGACCCTCCTGTCCGATCGTGACTGTTGTGTCGGCTCCTGAACTCAGGGACCGCCTTTCGGTCCTTGAGTTCTAGAGATTCAGACCCCTCAATCTCGTCGAAGGCTAGACATTCCGCTAATTATTCGGCCAGATGCCATGACCCTTGTCAATTATGGAATCAGACTTTGCTGTGGAAATGGAGGTTTCTAGCCTTGCATGAGATTTGCCTTCAAGCAGCGGCACTACCTCTTGCCCTTCCCCATGGCCAGCGGTGCTGGCAGCGCTGGGGTTTAAGGTTTAGGGCTTTAGGGATTTCGGCGTCCTGACAAACAAATGCCAGCATATGAAGACAAATGAAACGAAGAGTTCAAGCATGCATCACTTTGTACCTATGAAACTACAGCACATGCACATGGCAGCTTCTGCCTGCATGTGAAGAACTCGCATAAGATTGGTTGTGTGTACGCGCTCGGTATCCATGTAGCAGCACAGACCTGTATGGGTGCGCGTCCCTATGCATCGATGTCTTCATGCGTGTCTTATCTATTTCAGGCTTGCCAGCGGGGAACCGGTTTTCGGTCCTCGAATGTGCGAGCATAAAAGCCTCCTGCCCGCTCCTTCTTGGTTTCCGTTGGCAGTTCCCGTGCCTGCCCTGTTCACGCTACTTCGGCAACCGGATTCCTATTATTATACCACGGCCGCGGATTTCCGTACGGTGTGTGGGGCCGATTTCCGTTACTCCCAAACCGGTTGCCGTTACTCCCCGCAACCCATCACACCCCAAACTCTGAAGCCACAAAGCTTAACTTCGTGAGAACAACAAACCCTGAAGATCGAGACTCAGAAGTTGCAGACTTATGAGTAAGATCGCGATGAAGGGAGTGCATCAGGTGCTGGCGCAACGGCGCAAGCTTCGTGAGGCAAGGCATTGAAGGTTTCGGAGTTGGTCCGTGTACCATATCGGATGTAAAAAGTCGCAATACCAAGCATTGTCCAAGCCTTGTCGCATGGCAGAATTTTCTGATGTATCGAGCGGGTCCTTATATGGAGAAGAAAACAGCATCCGGAGCTCGCATATGCAGTGACCTGTCGTATCGTACTTACTTGTCATGTTTCATTCTCGTTGACGTCTCGTGGGTTTTAGTGAGGACTTACGTTCGGGTTCCGGAGGTTGCAAACTTACAGCACTAGGCCACTAGGCGTTGTCGTCGAGCCATGTCGAGCCTAGGTTCGAGGATTTTTTGCCCGTAATTGTGAGAGACAGAAATCAACTTGCGGCCAAAAAGCCTGGCGGCAGGACCTAGATGAGCAGTGGTCGCAAGCGCAAACTGCTGGGAACTCGGGTGGTCAGGGAAGGGAGGGGATTTTGAATCGGATCACACCTCCAGTGTCTCAGAATTTCAACGCCCGAAAAGCTTCTAGATTCTAACTTCAACCCTACCTGCTCTTTACTTCCCCCCAGGCATTGAACCGCATTCGCGCCTGCAGCACGCTCTGCGGAATCGCCGGCGTCGTGGCTCAAGGGCTGCTTCGGTTCCAACGGTTTATGCTGTTTTCGGACTCGTTCTGCCCACGTGGGCCGCATCCGTTTGATTCTTTGGGTGCAAGACGAGCGTGCTCGCAGCAGTGGCCTCTAGAATCAGCTTTGGGTTTCTGCGAGGTTCAGCACATAGTGCAGATGGAATGTGGTCTCGGAGTGGAGTGTTGGACAGAGGTAAGCATTCTTGGACCAGCCGCAAGCATTGCAGCTCTGTACTTTCGGCGGACAGAAGTAAATTCTGAACGAACAGCTTTGAGCCTCTGAAGCGAAGGCGAAGCGACAAAGCCGAAGATCCCGAACAACTGAAGATCCCCATCGACTGGGGCTTCCAAAGCGAGTTTCCCTGTGAGGCTCGTAATTATCGGTCCCGCGTAGAGCGCCTCAGTGGACTGGCGCTTCTGGGTACCTCAAGAGAAAATCCGAGTTCACCAATATGTACAAGAATCGCTTACGCTTTCCCTGCGCTTTCCTTCCCAATTGTGAATGTATGTAGTTATGCATGTACCTCATGAAGGTGAAGGCAGTTCTCGGTGCCGGGACCTTGCCGCCATTCTCGAGCGTTGCGAATCAGCACTGAAGCTCGGAATGAAGCCAAGATGGCTGTTTTGCTTTCTTCACCGGTTTGGGGGTTAAGGACCTTCGGGGTTCTTTGATTCTTTCTAATTGTAAGTCGTGTTAATCGTGCAGCCCGTTGTTGGCCATATTCTTTTGACAGCACTGGCACCATGAGCCAAAAGCCACGAGGCTGCAGAGCACTTCCAAGTGTGGCACTGCGCAGGAATGGGCGACCAGAGCAACATGTTTGAACATGAATTGATTTTTTGCGTCAGCTTCTCTCGCGGTTGAAGGTTACAGGTGAGGAGCGGGCATTGCGTTGAAGAATTCAGCAGGCTATGGCACTAGCTGCATTTGCTGGTTAGGCCGCGAGGTGGTTTCTGGTTTGCCCTACAGAAGCTTTACCAAACCCCAAAATTCACCAAGAGCGCCATCAAAGCCTTGAACTGTCGTCCTATGAGAACCCATTAAAACTCAGAAAGACTGGATGTCGGCGGCAGGATCTGGCAGACGACCGCCCAGCCGAAGCCCGGTTTGAGGCTGCATGGTGTTGGGGTTCCGGTCGGAGTATATTGTTACAGTGCCGGATTAAGAAATATAGACTATGTCATGTTTGATACATAATATACAGGTTTGGGTTCAGCAAACAGGGTTCAGGCTGGAAACACATAGAGTGATTGACCCCCCCGCCGGACCTGCTGACTTGTCCTCGTGACACCTCGTGATTACACCAACATGCAAGACGCTCTGAATCGCACATCGCACGAGACAATCTCACTCGAGGCTGCTGAGATACCGGACTCACAAAAGTTTGTTGAATCTTGCCGCGCGAGGTTTCTCAATCCCTCCAGGAGCTAAAGAAAGCAGACCGTGGCAGGAGGACAGCAACAAAGGAAGAATGCAGACGACATCGACAAGCTACTGCATCACGGATTGGCCTTTCGCTTTAGTGTGCATTGTCCAGCCTTCATCCAAGTCCAATGTCTGCATCTGATGCAGAAATTGGACTTGGATGAACTCTGTGCCCTCAACAACGCAAAGCAGAGGTTTCAAGATCCGCGCTTAAACCCCGACTATGCATAGTCCAAGCCTGTCACGAGAGTTTTTGGCTCCCGAAGCTGTCGTCGAAAGAGTTTGCAGGGTCGAGGCTCCGGAAGCAATGCCCATGTGGCCTTTGACAGGTGTTTCTGGATTCTGTGCTGCCGGTTCTCCTGGGAGAAGAGCTTCGAGCTCAGGACCGCGGCACGGTGACCGTATAAGCTTTCTGGTAAGCTGAGAATTCCCTGCTCAGGGTATCAAACAGTTGCTTGTTATCCCTTGACAGAGGCAGAAGGCAAACACGGGCAGTGCCACTTTGCCACAAGGCTTTCTGCGGGAGACACTAAATCACTCACGACTCAAGTAGCCCTGGGCCTCACAGCTTACGGATCAGCAGTGATTGGCGTTGTTCGAAGGTCAGGCAGCTGCAAATTGAAGTGGAAATCCGAAGCGCCAAAAAAAATAGACTGACCGCGGGACGGTTGTTTCGGGACTCATGCTGCTGTAGGCACGCAGTATCATAAAATAAACATGCCTATCTGTAACATTCACACCGCCAAGAATCGCACAGTAGATCGGCTTCAACTTCTTCCAGCTCACGATCTGCAGCATGCAACTCGTCATAATCATAAATCATGGGTGTTAATAATCAGCATTTCTGCTTGTGCTTGCGTCAATTTTCACATACCATGCAATGCTTAAGTGTTTTTGCATCTTCTATTGCCTGAAGGAATCCGGCGGACTTCCTGGGGCCGATGAGGAGGCAGCAGACAAGTAGGTTGCTCCGGTTGAACCCTCAAAGCTTTGTGACTGAGGACTTTGCAGGGTGCGCTTCTTTCGGCTGTACATCAGTACGAGCCGTGACACTGCTATCCTTCCGCTCAGTCGAAACATAGCGCTCTGGCCTGCGCGGTGCTGTGTTCTGCTATAGCTACCACGTTTGCCAATACTGCGAGCATGGGTTGCGCTGGATCTACATGCAATACTGCTGCTGCCTGTAGTATAGCTCTTTCTGCTCTTCTTGCCTTTGACTCTCATAGAACGTGCTACTGCTTTCCAGCTGGCTCTTTCGCTACGGATGTTGATGCTAATCCATGTACTGAGTGGCTGGCATTGTCAGGATGGCAGATGGTCCTATCGTTATCAGACGGTACCAGTGTTGATTTCGCACGTGTTGTATGATTGTCTTTGTTATCTTGTTTTTGGCCCGCTAACATCACACATTCTGTCATTCCTGTGCTGCCCTGTCGTCCACCGTAGAATCCTTCTGTCGCTGTTTCACTTGTGGCTTCTTGTTATGTTCTTAGATTCGGGTTTGCCTGTTACTTTTGCTTGCGTGTCTTTTTTTGTGCTGCAATCACTCTTTTGCTTCATCTTTTTCCCGCTACGGCTCCCTCTTCAGCGGCCCCTTGTTGCGCCTGCGATTGCCAAAATTGCTAGAGCAGCAGGTGGGTGGAGGTTTTGCTCACATAGATGAATTCAGGAATAAAGTCCTTTGTGGTACTTTGCTTGGGTCTCTATGTCGCAAGTCTGCTTCGCCGTTGAAGTTGCGGGATGGTTAGTTGTTTCTCCGTCCCTCTGTATTCGCTGTTTATTAGCTTTCTGCTTCGAGTGGGCTCGAACTTATTATCACAAGCATGCCGTGGTAGGTTGAGTAGTGTGATCCTCGCTGACAACACCTATTGAAATCCTGGGAAAGAGGCCGCAAAACTGTCCGAAATGAAGCATCATGTCCAATAAAACGAAGCTTGAAAACTCTCGCTTGTAATCCTCTACTAGCTTAAGGTTGACGATTGGCTGACAAGAAAGTGCAAACGGTGCGCATTATAGATGACACCATCTAAAGTGCCCAAATCATGGTTTGCAGTACAGAGGGTCACCAAAGGAAAGGCAGTGCAACATCGTTGGATTGATCTCGGCAGGCACTGGCAGCCTACTTCTGCCTTATTCCCCCCAATTAGTGGCATTCTTGTTGGTACATCCTTGATCCATATTGCTCCGCCTGACTTCGGGCTATCCTTGCCTCATCGGTCCGAGTATTCGCCCAGAACCTCCTTGGAGATCCCAGTGCTCGAGTTAGAGCGTATCCGCTGTAGCAACGTCAGGAGGTTCGCTTGCGTCTCATGCTTCAAGACTTGACGCACCACAATGTGCCTCGGCTTAGCTGAGGCTTGGGTCCTAGGTGTCCCAGGAAGGACATGCACATGTCGGTGCTTTCGTCAGCATCACAGACAGGTCTTCAATCCTGATACGCTGAAGCATCAAATGCGGAAGCCTCATCCCGAAATGCGGTAGTACCTAACTAGCAGAAGATATCTTCAAAGCTTGAGATCACAAGCTTTACCCAATAAGCTCTACACCGTAAGGCCGTAAACGTGAAAGCCTTACGGCACAGTCGTCGGTTAAAGGACCCGAATGCTGTCCTTTGAGCCGGCCAAAGAGTACCATCGTCATGGCGCTGCTGCTGCTGCTGCTGTTGCTGCTACTGGTTGTGATAAGTTGCACGAGCGTTTGTTCCTATCATCGGCAAAAGCAGGGGAAAACACTGGCCAACCAACGTTTACAGCTTGCAGTCACAGACGAGATGGTAATCGTAGCACTTATTGCGAACGCAGTGCTGGCAAAAGATTCGTCAGAAAAAGCGCCGGAGCATTCCCAACGATAACGCTGCCATCATCAAGTGCAGCGGCCATCTGTAAAGCCGTAAGCCTCAATTTTAGTTCTGATGTCTCGACAGGAAGCTTTGCACCGTGAGATCGAGGAGCCTTGGTGGTCGTTTGAGCCGTTCGGGCTTTTGGAGGTGTTGCAGGCACAAATAGTGCTTTTAGGGTTGATGGGCTTTGGATTTGGATGCTTCAAGCGGCAGGACAGTTTTGAAGTTCGATGCTTCGGCTGCAGGCTATTTGTGTCACTTCTGTAAGTGTATATAATGAGAGCTCTTGATAGGTGTTACACTGTCCTGGCGAATGGAGGACTGGGGATTTGTGGGCTGAGGGCCGAAGCAATATGTTGCTGCCTAGTTCGACTTTAGCGCTGCTTGTGCATGACTAGGAATTAGCTCCACTAACTCCCGGATCCCCACAGTGCCCATCGCAACACGTTTGCTGTAACGCACATCTCTTGGAAGCGTAACCAGGGCGTTGCTTAACCCTATATAATCGATAAACTTGAGATACCCTAAAGCCAAAGCATCTTTGGGTTCAGCTGGATCCCGGTAACATGCCAGGAGCAGCAGCGCAACCACCCGAAGCCTGAGAACTCCAGAGACGGCCAGGGGGAAATCTGAATGCGTGTGTCTGGCTTTCCATGTTCCCGCATCAGTCGCTCATGGCAGTCATAGCAGGACTCCCTTCTGTCTATCTGCGAGAAGCCAGCATAAGATGACACATGCAGACACTGGAGTCAACAAACATGAAGCAAGGGCCGCACGGGTTTAGGTGCATGTGTACCATGACGTCGACTTGAGTGCAATTCGCCGCAAAATACAATACATGCCATACCTAAATGCATTCATGCCTACATACTTCCCTACCCACGCTTCATACATTGCATACATTACATAAAATACATAAGTTGCATTGCCTCTCTTCCCGGCTGCCCGAAACCGCATCGCTGCATAAATGTTGCCTTTGGGAATCTTTGGGGCGTATATCGTTTGGCTTTTCGTTTGTGCATGTGCTACTGTCAGCATCTCGGGTACAGTGCTTGGCGCCGTGCCGGGGGCACGGTCCACACATCCAGAAGTTTGGGGCTTCGGGTAAGCTTTGAATTGGAAAATCTGTAAGGTCTAAATGTGCAGTTTGCCACAATCACGCGGCCCGCTAATTAACGTCAAGCTGACACCAGCGGCATGAAGCTGTTCGGCGTGTCACATGAACCCCGTGAATCCTGCCAGAACTCCGGCCCTGTTTTCCGCTTATGTGAAGCCCTAAGGCAGAACCAAATCTTTACAGTCTGAGCTCTGTGCGTTTGACTTAGAATGTAACCATTTCCTACAAGCAGTTTAGTTTAGGTATTCGTGCCGTGACATGGTGTTTCACCTTGGCATGTGGGTACGTTACACATCCATCTCCCGGGTCCGACATGGACCGAAGATGCAGGTCACCCCGACTTTCCCACGTGTCGCTTGGATGGGAGAATGGGGCCCATGTTTCTACCTCCAAGTATAGATGCTTCCCGCATAGCTGACACGAAGTGGAACCAGAATCCCAAAAAGCAACGGTACTTGCCGGAGTTGTTGTCGCTAACCTCCCTGCTGCTCTTTCAGGCATTTGGTTTGTTGGCGCGTTGGTTGTTTTCCGACACCTTGCACGGAGTCATGACCTGCTAGCCAGATGTGGTGGTTAGCTCCCTTATACGAGGGTTTTGTTATAGTGCAGACTAGTTGTCGCCTGTCCTTGCTTGGCAGCGCCGAACATAAGAGCGAAATCCTAAGCTCTCGAACCCTGATCCAAGATTAAAAGCCTACAATGGCCTAGCCAGGCGGGAGGCAAAAAAAAATGGCCTACAACAACTTGAAATCTTACGCCCGAAACCTTTCCCGGCAGGCTGCACTGATGGGGAAGATTTCGGCGCAACTTACCGGCACATTTTGTGGTCTGCTGGGTGTCTTCGATCGCCGCAAGCATATGCATGTCTGGATGTGTGTATGTGTTTCTTTGTGTCTGGATGTAGGCATGTAAGTGAGTGTCTTGGCATGTATGTATGTATGCATGAATTTATCTTTTTATGTATGTATGTATGATTGTATGTATGTATATATGTACGTATGTATGTGTGTATGTGTGTGTGTATGTATGTGTCTGTGGAGGTATGTCTGTCTGTCTGTCTGTCTGTCTGTCCGTCCGTCCGTCTGTCTGTCTGTCTGTATGTATGTATGTACATATGTTTGTGCCCGCATGTGCATGTGCATACATATGTAACCGTATGCATGCATGAATGAAAGAATGAATGAATGTATGTATGTATGTACCTAAGTATGTACGTAAGGATGGATGGCAAATATGCATGTGATATGTATGGCCTGGGTATGTAATAGAACATTACATACCCGACCTTGCGAGTACATACTTCCTGTCATAGTACCGTACTTTCGCATTGTACATACGTACCACATACATAGGTACCTACATACATACATACCTACATATACCAGATTACACTACAACACGCGCCATGCGCTGCATATATACAGTTTCCTTGTGCCCAGCTTGTGCCATACGTATCTTGCATGTCATAAAACTCATAAATGACATGCATTACATGTATTGCACCTCTTACATACATTATGCACATAGCTAAACACAGACATGGCTTGCACAACATGCATAACATGCATATCATACATACATACGTGACATGCCCACTATACAGAATGTGCAGAACATACGCAGCGTTGACCATCCAAAGCTTTACCTTGCATATCTTACACACATATAGACAGACAGACGCACTTACTAACTAACTAACTTACTTACTTACAAAGCTGCTTACAAACATACATGCAACAAATCCTTTGCGTGCGTGCATACCTACGTACATAAATGCATAGATGTGCACTCATTCCATTCACTCGTTCATTTCTTGTTTCCTTCGTTCATGCAGCGTTCAGGAACTCGTTCACATGCTTTTACACATTCGCATACACGCATACATTTAACCCCGAACATCCACACATACACACATACGTACATACATACCTACATACGTACATACATGCATGCAGTCTGGTTTGGTCCGGTTCGGTTGCGTGGTGTGGTGTGGTGCTGGGCAGGCAGTTGCACGTACACCGCATGACGGAGAAGACTCCTTGTCGGTCCAGGCGCTGGGGTTTTCGTGGCTGTACTTCTTCGATGTTGGGAGTGGAGTTTATAACTTGTCTCCCAGGGCTCAAGGTGTCCCAGCCGCTACAAAGTACTTATTTTTGCGCGGACATGACCTTTGTGATTCAGTGTTGCTCGTAACCTTGGCTCCATGCATGCCTGACGAGCCAAAGTCGTGGTACCCAGCTGCCTAGACGGAGTTTTGTGCAATTTCTCGCCTAACTACAACCACAAGGATGCACCAACCCTGCGTCGAGAAGGTCTCAGCAAGAGGCGAGACCAAATTCCGAGGCAATGCGCAGTTTGTGTGCCAAGAGATATATCATCAGCTCGAGTTTCCGTGCAACTACATTGAGGTAGAAAAGCCCAATCGCTGGCCAGCTGTACTCCTGCAGTGTTGAATAAGATCATATTTGACTCCTATAGACCCTTAGCCCCAAATCGTATATTAACCCTAAATCTAGATGATACACCACAAACAAAAACTCACAAATCCTACCGAAACAATGGCCCTACGAACCCTCCACCATACAGCAAAACCAAAAACAATCCTAAAGCCCGATTAAAGCCTCAGCAAGCCTGATGAACTTCATACGCCTCGGGGGCCCCGCCCCTCCTCCCTTCAAAAGACACATGCCCCCATTCATCTGAACCCCAAACCCTAGACCCTAAACCCCTATAGTTGTGTATGTGCCCTTATGTGCCCTTGGTCTTTCCCCCGAGTTGTCAGTCTAACGAACTCCCTGCGGTGCGACATTGTCAGCTGAGCGGGTGGGAAAAAACCCTAGTTCTGCAGTGCGACCTAGTCAGCGAAGCGGGTGGCAACAAAAGCAATCCTAATTTAATCTCTCAGGCGGCTGAGCTTCGAACAGCCCTTGCAGAGGCCTACGAAGAGCTCTCAAGATGGCAACAGGAGCCCAGAGGTGTTGGATTTTTTTGGCGTGGGGTTTGGGAAGTTTAGGATTTAAGGTTTAGAGATTGGAGTTTCGAGTGCCTGGCACAGAGAGAGAGAGAGAGAGAGAGATTGGAGTTTAGGGTTCAAGCTGAAGGGATTAAGGTCACGGAGCTTGATTGTTTCATGGGTTAGGCCTTCTGGGCATAGAGTACTAGACTGTTGCATTCCGAGATGAAGACTGCGGGTTCAAGCTGGCAGGGAGCTTGCACAGACAGTTATTCAACCAAGGCTCGTTCCCCATGTCGTAAGCGTATTTCTGTACCCTCAACCCCAACATGGAAGCCGGAATACCTAACCCAGCCATCGACAGCTACTCACAACTCCAAACGCGCATCTGCGAAAGGAAGACCCATCTGCCAGCAATACTTTGCACAGCTACCTGTGCAGAGACTTGGATGCAACTCAATCCGTTGTGTGCTGGTGTGACGGTTCAGTTTGCGCCCGCGGCAGTGTGGTGTTTTTGCAAGCCTGTCGTGCCTGGACTCTGCGAATTTGCTTAGATGTCAAGACTGTCAAGAGTTGAATTTCACGCCCGATGCTGTTTGCTTTCATTCACTTTGGTCCCGACATGCCAAGTTGTTCTATGGGAAGAATGAGTATGACTGTAAGAAGGGCCGTGACAGCATCGAAATCGATATGGTAGTGAATCCGGAGAGCAGGAAGCAGGGACATTACCAGTGCCGATCCTGATGCTAAGTGCAATGGCAAGAGTTAGGTGAGAAAAGGGACCGCAGTAGACCCTTGAAGCCCGCAGCGCCAAACAACTCAGGACTTTCCTCAGCGCATGTTCTTTCCAGCACAAGGACCGGCTCCAGGAGTCTTTCAACGGCTTCCGAAATCCGCACATGACTTTACGGGTTTAGCGTCTAGGGTTTAGGCACATTTGTGCACGAATCATGAAGTTACTTGCATGTCCGGCACTCGTAAGAATCCAGTCGCAAAGGAGGATTTGCCGGCTAAGGCCTGTTCGATCAAGTCTGTGGTCCTTGCAGACGATGGGTCGGGCAAGCCGGCCTGTCTCAATTGTGTTCGATTACGCTGCGAAGTTTCAGGGTTTCGAATCTCACTTAGCGGATGCAAGCCACTGCGCAACTCTGTCAAAGATGTCGGGTCTGCGGGACAATATTGGAACAGATGTTTCAAGGTGACACGGATCCCGATTTGCGGAAGCATCTGTGTTCCCAAGCACCGCAACTGACAGGACTGGCCTTCCGCCATCGAGCACGGACAGAGGAAGATGACAAAAAGCGAGTTCAGGCTTAGCGTTGACCATGAGGCTGCGTCCTGTCCCTTCCATGAGGTTGAATGTTTGGCTGTTGCTAGGATGAGTGTGCTTGCTAATGCCAGCTGCATTTTGAAAAGGTCTCCGCATGGTGATGCCACCGATGATATCCTTGAACCTGAGCCCACGGGTTGTGGGTTTAGGGCTTGGGGTTCTGGTACACACAGTTGAGATAGACAGAGGAGCGGTATGATCAGGAATTCCTGATGCGTTTACTAGAGCCTGGTAGAAATCTGCGAACTACCTGCTGTTTCTACGGCACGGTACCTTCTTGCTACGATACCTTCGTGATGCTAGCCGTCTTCTGTTCTGCTCCATGAGCCTGTTGGATGGCTTTCCGCTTCGAGTCAAATCAAGAATTCGGAATGTCTCATGAAGCACAGTTCAAACGGCACCGCAATCCTTAATCAAAAGACTTAAAGCCACAAGACCCCTACCACCGTCCCAACCTCAAAAAATAGCGACTTGACGAATGCATGCAGTTCCGGGAGACCAATCAGCTCAGCGTTCGGTATAGACCCTAAACCCCAAAGGGTTGGCTTAAACTTGAAAACCTAAATTGTTACAGAACTCTACAAAACAGTGAGCACGCAGGGGTGGCTCGGATTAAGGATGTTCTGAGGCCTTGGCTGCTGCGGAGCAGGGCCTCACACTGCTGAAGGTCCTGAGCAACAGCAGCAAGGCGCGAAAAGACGTCGCGAGTAAGTTGTAGTTACGATCGTAGATCTATCAGTCTTTAAACCCTCAGGGTTTCTGTGTAAGTACCTCCGCACACTTGATTTGTAGTTATTCTGCATTCGTCTTTTATACGTAGTCGCGTCACACTGCCCTATTCCCGATATGTATATGGGCTGTGATGATGAGATCATCCTTATATCTGGAGGATCCGTATAATAAGGGCCCTATGGCATCGAATTTTCTCAAAGACAGCAACGTAGCTTTGCTTCGAGGCCTCGGCACAGGGCTCGGATTCTACCGTATAGCCTTGCGGGCAAGTTTGGTGTGTGTGGTTTGGTGTTGGGGCTTGCAAAGTTCTTGTAGAGTAGGAGTTTAGGACTTGCTGCACGCAGGGTTCTTGGAGTGTAAGATGTTCAGGGCTAAGGCCTTCGAGCGCATAGGGTTCAGAGTTTTTGTGTTTTAGGATTTGCAGGGCTTAGGCTTTAGGTCGCGAAGGTTTTGCCGTTTAGGTGTTTCAGTATTTGGGTACAGTTTGGGGACTGGTCATGTCCCAAGACCCTAAACTTTGACTCATTAACCCCATACATAGCCCTAAGCCCAAGAGAGGGAACCTTCGCGAAAGGTCGAGGAAATGGCAGCTCTTATCAAGGCCCGGGGCCTTCATGAGACCAAGGAGTGGTGCTGGTGGAGTTACTATTAGGTACCATAAACAAAGGGGCACTATGACACTGTTTCGGGGTCTCCGGCGTCTGGGCACTTCGAGGCTTTACTTGGGGCTTTGGAGTGTCGGCTCGGGGCCTATGGGGTTCAGTCGCCGTTGGCACTGTACCAGCTGCTATCCCTGGATGAAGTCGGGCTCAGCTTGAGTTCCTCATGACCTAAAGCTTAAACCCTAGTCCTGCCGAAGAGCAGGGTCTTCGCGAGAACCCGGCCGGATTTACAGAAGGACCTGCGAATAGACTGAGCTATGGGCCCAAAGCTCCCAGAAACTCCCAAGAATAGCCAGGTCTCTGACTGCCTCATGGCGGTTGGCAAGGGCAAGACGGCCGTGATGCGCGGGTGCCTTTGCTCAGATATTGGGTTCAAGTTCAGGATTTACTGTAAGGTTCAAGGAGGTTTACTTGCGAGGATTGATTGTGATATATGCCTTTCACCGCTTGTTGAAAAAGTCATGCGGAGCAGTACCTTGACGTCTATAGGGTTGCAAGCCCACAGTCTCAATCACGCAGCCCTACGGCTAGACCCTCAACCACGTTCTCTTTCGTTGCCCCGTTTGTGGTGATGTATTTTGGCTTTGCAGTTTGAAAGCGTCCCTTGCTGGATGCACATTGTACAGCCCAAGACACATCACCACAAGGATTGGGATCCAACCAAACGCAGTGCATCGTAATTCGGTCGAAACCGATCAAATAATTGGCGCCACCATGGCCCTGATGTGTTACGCTATTCTAGGCTTCAACCAATCTCGAATTATTAAGCTCCGTAAATTGTGCAAGGAGCTCACGTCCAGAGTTGTGCAATTCTTCGTCTTAGTAGAAGAAGAAGTCCGTAGTGTTCTGGCATTCAACTCCAAAACATAGGTCGGTTCCGTGGAGGACACGGCCATGATATAGTTGAAATATAGGCTGTCGAACTCAAATAGAAAGCCCCAAAAATATCAGAACTCCCATTAGGAGTTTCCGAAACTTGGGCGTCTGTTCAACCATGCTTCTGTGCAAGAACGAGCCTCCTGTCCCCTTATAGTCTCCAGCCCGAAAGAAAGTTTTCATAAGAGTTTCGATCAGTTGAAATCAATCTTCAGCTGAAATCACTTCAGCATCGGTTCATTCAACTCCTATCCCATCCTATCTCAACCAGTCTTCCAAGCACAAGGCGTTATCATAATAAAAAGCAACAGTGTGTGTTTGGTTCTTAGGGAGGGACCGTTGAGCACACCTCGAAGCCAGTTTCCAATTACTCTTCCCCCTACTTGCCTGCTGATAAGCCCAGAAGCTGTTGAAGCAGGCAGGAAGCCGCACAGCAATGCAGCGAGACCGGGGATGTTTGGGCCGGGGTCATGGCATTACAGGCACGTGCTCCGCACGTGCTTCCACAACGCATGGCTAAGAGTTGTGTGTCTGTTGCCATTTCTGCACCTTATTCGGAACCGGACTAGGTAGATGGTTTGCTGTCAGCAGATGTGTTGGCTGGTTTTGCCCATCTTATGGTACACTTGCCATGGCGCACGCAAATAGCTACACAGGCGTATCGGCCCAAGCAAGGTTGGCGGCAGACCCGTGCAGCAAACTAGCACGGGTGTCAGCTGTAAGTAAAAAAGACTTAAACGCACCTATGAGAGCGCCCGTGGAATGATGGAGCTGTTTTTCAGGTTTCCTGGTCCAGCAGACATATTGCTCAATATGCTTAAAGCCGCAAATTCCAACATGATCACCGCACGCTTATAATGAAAGCACCGCTTGGGAGTATAGCAAGCAGGTGTGCTTGCAAGCATACACACTTTTTGTGCGTATCTCAGATGGCGTTTGTCAACGAAGGAAGTGTGGATGTATGCATGTCTATATATATATATATACAGATATACATGTATATATATATATAGTAATTTTTGTTTCATCTCGGTGCCATGGCGCAGTTTCAAGACTGCCTTGATGGCCTGGGAGCCGTGAAAGCGGCCTTGGAAGCCGGGCAGGAGGAGGCCGGTACCTGAGGGGGTGGAGCGTTTGTAATGTAGGGGTCTAATTATTTACCAATTCTATTTTGGGGGTTCCTTACTATAACCACAGTATAATAACCCCAAAACCCTATTCTAATTATATTAAGGCCCTATATTAGGGTAGGTTTGGATGTGAAAGGATTTATAGGGTTCAGGGCTTCGGGCTTGTAGGGTTTGTCGCGGTAGGGCTGGGGAGGGAGGGTGAGGCTTGTAGGCATTGCGTTGATATTTTGGTTTCGAACTTCGGGGCTGGTGGAGCTTTATGAAGTGTGCCGGCGCAGCTTTCTTTGCGAGGTCTTCGTTTCCTGCCTTGACCTTCTGTCAATCTTGCAGCTCATGGACATGTGTGGGTCCTTGTCGTTCTTTCTCCTGTTGGACTTCAGAGCTCAAGTTTTTCCGTCCGAAACATCTATGTTCCCGAAGCCCTATATCAGCACAGTCACCCCGCAAAACGAAATCAACAACTCGAAATCCTGCGGCTCATCACACAGTTTTCAACATGATTCAACTGAAGTCGAACTTCGGCCTATAGAGGCTTCTCCGAAATGCGGAACACCGCAAATTTAAAACCAAAACTCTAAGCCCTAAACCCTATGAGCATGACATGTTGGTGCTGCTACGTAGATTGTTTACATAATTCTCCAACCTCCAGGCCTTGTATCCAGTGCTGGTGTCTCGGGTCACACTCTTCTTCGGGCTGCTGCTTTTGCTCGGGAAACCCACCGGACAGCTGGCGCAGTCTGAGTCTGTGAGCTCCCGCGACTCCGGTCAAAATCTGCTTGCGTTTGTTTGTCTGCGACATATTTTCGTAGCTCGCGTCGTGGTTGTTGCGTCGTGGACCATTTCGTTTGACGGAATTTCGCTTGGCCCTTCTGACCCTTCCGACCCTTCCCAAGCTGGCAACTGCTCGCAGGTGCGTGCGGCCATGCAGTCACAAAGCCGAAGCTCAGATTGACCAGTGTTTGTTGATTTCTGGGTTTGGTATTTACGCTTTTAGGGTGCCTTGGGTCTGGGGTGAAGTGCTGCCAGGTTTTCAGGAGTTTGGAGACCTTCAGCTTCGAGGTTTTAGGGTGAAGTAGCGTTTGATAAAGGGCTTGCGAGAAGGCGTGGGGACGCAGTTGGGGCACTGCAGGATGTTCTTTGGTTTGAACCTAGAATGCCTTAGAATCAAGTGTGTTGGCAAGGATGATTCCTTTCTCCTCCGGCTTGTTAAACCTGCTCGGTATTCACAAGAGTCAGGACACAGAAGTTGAGAGCCCGATGCGGCTTCAGTGAACGAGGGGCGAGTGCTGGCCTGCAACATCCGAATGTTTCCTAGTGCAATATACGTTTGGAAGCGGCGTATAATCTCAGCAATGCAGGCCGCCCCCACTTGAAGCAGAAAAGTTGCCGGGCAATCATTTATAAGCTTTAAAAGGGCTTTGCACAGTAGCCAGACACCGCAGACTGGCAGAGCGGGGTGAGGGGACTTCAGCCAGCGGACGTACAGCAAGGGACAGAGCACCAAGCAGGGACCCCGCCTGATGCGCGCCCGGTTACCGCAACACAGCAAACGAAGAGCGAGCAAGCTGTCAGCCGACCACGACCACGCAAGCCTGAACTAGCACCCCAGGCTTGCTTTCGAGGGTGGCTGATGAGGCTCGGTGCCGGCTCAAAGGGACAAAGGGCCAAGGGAGTTGAGCTTTGAGGTTTGGGGAAGGAGCAGCTTCACAAGCAATTTGTGTTGCACCAATCTGCAAGTCTGACGGGGAAACCGCTTCGCAAGACTGTGCATCCTTGCAGGTCCTGAGCCTGAAAGGCATGCTGCAGGAGAGGAGTCGGTTGGACGAAGGATGTGATTTTCAGCGGTCTTTGAAGCAACCTTCTTCAAAGGTTCCGCGATGTTCCGCGGTTCTCGTGTTGGGGAGGACCTGCATGATTTGCGTTTTCGGGTTCATTCGACCAACAACAGTGGTGTGTTTTCGTCTGGCCGGACTTTGCAATCTTACGGTCATCGTTTGTGTCAAGGCTCAGGCGCAGGGGAAGGCATGGTCCATGCAGGATTGGAAGCTTACGACCTGACACTGGCTGACAGCCAAGAATCTCCAGTCGTTTGTTAAATACTGGCACGTTTGTGTGCGTGTGTGTGTGTGAATGTGTATCATATCTCGCGTGTGTGTGTGTGTGAGAATGTGTACCATATCTTAACTTATACAGAGAGGGAGGGAGCGAGAGACAATCTTCTTCTGTTATTGTCTGCCTGTGTGGAGCCTTTGTCTTGGGACTTCAGTTGTTGCGTCAGCTTGTTTCACGTCTTCCCATAAGGCGCAACAACAGGGGTGAGCCATTTGCCTGGACTTAAACTCGTCCCGATGCTCCGGAAAACAACGGAACAGAGATCGACAGGTGTGTGTGCGTATATATCTATATGTATGTATGTATGTATGTATGTATGTATGTATGTATGTATATATATATGTGCATCTGTGTATATAGCGCTCTATGTAGGCTACATTCTACTGTGCCGTGCTGGGTTATGGTTAAGTTGGATTCTATGGCATGACATACCAGGACACTGCATGAAGTGACGTTACATTTACACTACATCATTGCAGCACCCCTTGCCGACCTTGCCTTAAATTACAACTGCATCATACTACATGGTGTTGTACTGGCCTGCACTATACATAGACATTAGAACTTCAGTGCAGGTCAACAGACAACTACTTAAGCAGACATGTAAAGAAATTTTGAATAAATATGTAAGCCAAGCAAAAATGAGCACCAATGGGCAGTAAATATAATAAGCTGCTACTGTAAGGAATAACTCGTAGCTCAATCTTCTAAATCAGAAAGTCTGGCAAAGATCAGTACATTTGCCAGTGTGCGTGTGTGTGTGTGTATGCATGTATGCATGTATGCATGTATGCATGTATGCATGTATGCATGTATGCATGTATGTATGTATGTATGTATGTATGTGTGTGTATGTATGTGTATATATGT